ATTTGAACAACTTTAAAGATGATTTGTTCAATATTTTGATTTTTTTGCACCCTCAGATTCCAGATTTTCAAATATTGTCCTATCCTAACAAACCATGCATCAATGGAAAGATGATTTATTCATCTCAATTAAAAAAAAAATTGACCCTTATGACTGCTTTTGTGTTGCAGGGTCACATTTACTCACAAAATTCATATTCCCAATATATAAATGATTCATCAGTGCAAGTTAGTATAGGAAAAAAAAAAACACTGAAAACATCTGAAACCATCAGTCAACATCAAACCACTCACGACACCAATTTGAGCTTTTAACTTATTCTATATGGCAATAATAATCAATAAAAGTGGTAAAATTATTAAATAGGGTGTGGATGGTAACCCAGGTTACACTTCCATAATGTACTTAAAGTGCTCTATTTTTGCACACTAATTTTGTACTTAATATACTAAAAATGATTCTTTACTTAGTACTTCTTAAGATAAACTTAAGATCATCTAAGTGTACTCAGCTGTGCTATTTTGGGACACCATGAATATGAACTAAAATGTGCTTATAATATACTATCTCTGTATTTAAAAAATGCATTTAGTCACCACTTTCATACACTAGTACACTCAAGTGTACTACAAGTGGTGACTAAATGCATTTTTTAAATACAGAGATAGTATATTATAAGCACATTTTAGTTCATATTCGTGGTGTCCCAAAACAGCACAGCTGAGTACACTTAGATGATCTTAAGTACTAAAGAATCATTTTTCGTATATTAAGTACAAAATTAGAGCATGAAAATAGAGCACTTTAAGTACATTATAGAAGTGCACTTTTATTTTTAACCTGGGAACTTCAGTGTAATATGTTCAAAAGCACATGAGAGGCTGTGAGCATCAGTAAGAGCGCAGGAGTGAGACGGAGCGCTTCTGAGTGGCTCATGCTGAGCTTGTATTGCCTGACTGTCCTAGTATAGCCGTCCTCTGAAGACTCACAACTGTACTCCCCTTCGTGAGTCTTATTCATGCTGTAAATGAGGTACAAACAGCCCAGCTCGGAGTGAACGCACTCCTCGCGTGTTTTACCGCGGTACCAGTGGTATGTGGCGTGGTGTGACGTCATTGGGCAGAGCAAGAAGTGTTTAGAGGATGGAGGGACACGGGTCTCTGGCGTCTTCAGTCTGTTTTCAGTCTTTGATGGTGCAGCTTCAGGCTTATCTGCAGAACACGGTCATGTGATGCGTTTATTAAAGTGACATACATTGGTAAATCTGAAAACATCTGTGAGCCTGGAGCACAAAAGCAGTCTTAAGTCGCTGGGGTATATTTGTAGCAATAGCCAACAATACATTGTATGGGTCAAAATTATATATTTTTCTTTTATGCCAAAAATCATTAGGATATTAAGATCATGTTCCATGAAGGTGATTAGTAATATGCATTGCTAAGAACTTCATTTGGACGACTTTAAAGGCGATTTTCTCAATATTTAGATTTTTTATTTTTTTTTGCACCATCAGATTCCAGATTTTCAAATATTGTCTGATCCTAACAAACCACACACCAATGGAAAGCTTATTTATTCAGCTTTCCGAGGATGCATGAATCTCAATTTCCAAAAATTGACCCTTATGACTGGTTTTGTGCTCCAGGGTCACATTTTGTTTCAAAAACACTTGAGCTGTCAATCTAGACTCAGTTGTTTGCAGATGAACATGGTTGATTATAAATATACTGTAGTTCATTCGATACTTAAGTTTAAGTAGAAATAGTTGAATTAAAATTGATTATTTGGCTCAAGATGGTGATGAATCAATAGTGAGTTGAGCGTTTTGTGAGCAGCACTATCAAAGTTGCTGCCAATGTAGAGCGTCTCAAATCAGTCACATTTCAGATAGGATGCTCCCTAAAAAGACAGCTGCCTATGTAGGAAAGTAGTAAATACTAAAAAGGCAAAACCTTTTATTCAAAGCGAGTAGAAGACATGGTGGCCTTTCACACTAGGGCTGCACGATGTGGGAAAAGATCCAATTAGAATTTTCTTTTTTTAATAAAAATTGTGATTTTAAAATGTCATTTAAAAAAATTCGAGTTTTTAGGGCTGCACAATTTGGTCACAATGTGATTATATATTAATGTGGCTATAATAATAATTAAAAATATTTATAATATAAATTAAAAAATAAATTAAAAATAATTTATTATTAATATTGATTACTAACAAGTATAAAAAATAAATAGTAATACTTCATTGTAAAATATTATTTTACATTATAACTGTAAAATTACAATAATAATACTTATGGTTGTCTTCGTTTTCAAACATTAAACCATTAAACATTCATTTTGATGAGAAACTGCAGAAAGCCCTTAAAGCTTCCCTTTTGTTCAGTACTTCTCATTACAAATCTGGGAAGATGGTTGGTATGTGTTGCATAACCAAATGCCAGAGGTGTGGGCAAGTCACACATGTTCAAGTCTCAAGTCACAGAGCAAGCGTAAAGAAGTCAAGTCACAATACCAAACAGGAACAAGTATATTTTATTTTTGCCACAACCTTCTTTTTTTTTTCTCAGAAATGAACTTTCTCAATTATACATTTGAAATAATAGTAGTTTAAATAGGCCTATAAAATGTTGAATATAGATATGTGACCCTGGAGCACAAAACCAGTCATAAGGGTCAATTTTTCTAAATTGAGATTCATACATCACTGAAAGCTGAATAAATAAGCTTTCCATTGATGTATGGTTTGTTAGGATTATTACTACAAATATGCCCGTGCTACTTAAGACTGGTTTTGTGCTCCAGGCTCACATATATGAAATAAAAATGCTACTTTTAATTATGAAATTAAAAACGCCAGCAGGTGGTGTAACCATGTAACCATGTGCAGACCGAATTACTTTTTCTTTTTTTTTTCTTTTTTTAAACCTTGGTGTGCTGACAATTACATTAATATTAACCTTACAAAAATGAATTAGCAAGAAAACCAGAAAAACACTACTCTTTGTGAAAACTGCATTTGTTTTTTCAGGTAAAATACTTTTACATAATACTTCGATATTTATTTTTTTATTTTTTTTAAATGTTTTATTTACTATTTTTTATTAGGGATGAACCCATTTTGATTATAGGGCCCTATATAAAAACGAACTCATACTAGGGCCATTTTGCTATATATATTGGATTTCGGGTGCATTGGGTGCAAGAGAATCATCACTAATTGATAAAACACTACCGTGGCACAATTCCATATTGTTTTCAGTCATTAAAAAAGAGGGACGTACTTGACATTAAAGCACTGTTTTTTGGGAGGCAAACGCCAGCGGATTTAAAGTTTGACATCGTTAGTTACAAACATGAGATTAATCATTTATAACCACTTTCATTTAATAACAGACTTAAGCTGAATTTTAAGACAAATAATTAACAGGACAGCTTACATACCTTTATTTTTAAAGTGGTGACATCAATGCATACAGCAAATTTCCTTTTATGCATTTGGTCTGTTTCAAAGTGTTTATATCCAAAAGAAAACATCTGGTAGATTCTCTTAGTTTCTGTATTTGGATGCGCTGTAACTCTGTGCTTGTGCAGCGTCATGAACTGCTCAGACTCAGATCACTGGTGCTGCTGATCATGTGTCTTGCGTTTTGTTTACCAATATAAGTTGCAGAGATGGGGTTGGTGTCATGTAGACCACAGCACTAAACCTGAAACTATCTGTAGATGGTGGTCTGAGTTTGCTTTCATGGTATGCATGAACATTTTATTCGGCTGCACCTTGTTCAGGTAATAAAATGTAGTTCAGGAACAGTCGCACAGTGATCGTGGCTAGTGTGAAAAGACACACACACACCCAATATCAAAAACAGAGCCATACTTACTGCAGTTTGTGAAATCCTGAAATGGGCTTCTGTGGAAAAGAGGACACATTACTGAGATGAGGCTTGTTATATTCATAAATGTTTTTTGTTGTTGTTGTTGTTGTTAAGGCGAGACACTGCAGGTGAATAGGTAAAAAAAAAACAACTAATAGTTATCGCCTTACCCAGCTGATTGATTACACAGATAATTGCAAAAAAAAATTTTGTATTACAAGTTTTCTAAAATGCTAGGTTTAAATATGCAAATGAGTCATTATTTAATGAAATATGTGCTAATTTGCATAAATATCTAGTACAAAAATCTAAACACTGGATGAAGTCTTGTTTAATTTTTTTGACATATTAGAGTCAAAAGTGTTTACAGAGGGAATTTTGGGTATCTCGTTTTTGTCACTCCATAATTCAGAAAATGCTTAGAACGGACAGAAAACAAGTCCAAAAGAAGTTAAATAAAAACCGTCCATCCATAAAAAATGTCTCACACGGCTCCAAAAGGCTTCCTGTAGCGAATCGATGTGTTTTTGTAAGAAAAATATCCATATTCAAAACGTAATAATCACTTTAATCTAGAATTTCACTTCTTTTGGACTGATGCACTGCAACACCTGCTGAGTGCCATTAAACAGCTTGAAAGCTCAAAAACAATTTTTAATATAACTCCGACTGGATTCGTCTGAAAGAAGAAAGTCATATACACTTAGGATGACTTGAGGGTGAGTAATTTATGGGCTAATTTTCATTTTTGGGTGAACTAACACTTTAAGTGAATCATGCGGTGTGGTTTTAAGCTGTGTGGGTGTGGTAAGTTATGCTAATGTTTCAGTGGTAGAAAATAAGGAAATGAGTAGACATCTACAAAAAGGGGTGCATGTGGTCGAGCAGGTAAAGCGATGCAAAGTTTTTCAGTGGTTATGAGGTTTCAAAATGATTGTAGGCACCATGTGCAATCTGCAAGTCAAGCATCACTATTACCAGTGCTTAAAATGATTTTAACAAACCTCAAAAACTACGTATAAAACTTTAGTGTTGTAACTCATTTTGTAGATCACAGAGACTCAAACCAGCATGAAACCACTTCACAATTACCCATAACACTCCAGCATCACTGCTAGGGCTGAACGATTAATTGCATTTGTAATAATATCGCGATATGAAAAAACACGATTTTTCAGTTGCAGAGGCTGCGATTATACTCGGTCACATGACACGCTAGAGTAAAGAGGTGTGTTCGACTTGAAGATCGATTGGTGTATGACATCAAAGTACGGTGAGAGAAAGCATAAGGAGACATCCGCGCTCTCTTATAGCTCTCGCAGTACACACCCATCGGTCTAAGCAGCGCTGCTTCAAGTCGAGCGCGGGCCATCAGCAGAAAAAGAAAAGAAATAAAACAATAAACAGCCAAAGGACGTAACTTAGAATGGGAGATGGATCGGTTTGTGAAAGGGAAGAGAAAAGCCATAGATGAAGTCGCACAGATCCAGGCAGGTCATTCAAAAGCTAAATGCAGAAAATATGACGAGGCATATCTTGCTCTCGGCTTCACTTACCATGTCTATACCGGACGCTACAGTTGACGCGTCGCGCCGCAACAGCTCTACACTGGACGCGACAAAGCGACCATTGCAAATCATTTTAACTTTGTGTCAGTACGTCATAAATAGAACGAGGCATCCGTTTAATGTGAAGTCGCATCCAGTGTAGACAGCGTCACTGATTATAATGGGTTCTACTGTATTTTGCCGCTCGCGTCCGGTGTAGACACAGTGTTTAATGTCGTTGATGAGGAGGAAAGCCTGTGTGTGTCCTCTGCCTTAGCGGACAGCATGAAACCCACAAAAAATAAATAAATAAA